ATTGCTTCCGAAGTGCCTGTATAATAAGCGTCCCTCTCAAATAATACTCTCGAATAAGCGTTTCTCTGAAAATACGTACTGCACTGAAGATTAAAAAACTTTGTATAAGTGCTGCAGTGCTTAAATGGCTATTTACAGTTTTTCTTGTTTTGTTTTTTGCTATTAAATCTTTTCTCTAATAAATACATAAAGTAAGCAATTCATAAACATACCCTATATAGTATAACACAATTATTCACTTACCTTTAGATGAATTCCACCCAAAGAAAGCCACATGCTACAATTTTTGGCTAAATTTTTGAACCTGGAAACAAGTTTTCCATCTAGGGATATCGCCATATCTACTGATTCTGCACTGTTATTACCCACATAATCACAACATTCTGGCAAAAATGTCACCTATTACAAGAATGGAATGATCCAAAGTTATTTTGCTTTTGCAGTTTTGTTCTTTTCAAGCATGCTGAATATAGTCGGGATTGTTTGCAAGTAACTCCACCCAGATATGTACCTGCTAGCATAATTTATAAAGACCACCAAGCATATTAATAATCACAACATTCTGGCAAAAATGTCACCTATTACAAGAATGGAATGATCCAAAGTTATTTTGCTTTTGCAGTTTTGTTTTTTTCAAGCATGCTGAATATAGTCGGGATTGTTTGCAAGTAACTCCACCCAAATATTTACCTGCTAGCATAATTTATAAAGACCACCAAGCAAGCATATTAATATTAACTTTAAAATGGCCACAAATCATGAAACCTCTCACTGAAACCCATCACTCTATTTGCGACCCAATCAAAAAATAGTAAATCACCTTAAGGCCAAATAAAATTAATTTTTTATAAATAGCAAATTTTTTTCATGAAGTTCCAAAATTTGATGAGGACGGGAACGTGAAACTATTAATTCATTGTATTTGGTCGAAAAGTTGACAGTAGATGATAATAATGCTGGTTAAAGATCATAAAGCTGCTATGCATATTCAAAACTATTCCAGTAATATTGTTTTGTATGGTCAAACTGGGGCGATGGAGGATTTGTGATCACACCATCTGCATCCACCCCAGTCATACTATTAGTTTGCTTGGAGTATCCACCCTCCATTACATGAATGAAAGCTTATAAAATATTTGGTAGGCTTAAAAGTGCTGCTTGTCTCTTTACTGTTTATATAGTTCAGACTAATACGGCTCCCCACTATTCCATGATATATAAAACAGATAATGGGTACCGTATGCGACTTGCCTTGTGTTTATAATAACTAGAAAGGTCAACATGCCAATACACAGGAAATTAAGTGGCTATTTTCCAAAGGCTTAATGTGTTATTGTACTGTGATGAAGCAAGCCTCCTAAACATTTCTGCATCATGGTGGTGGTGCACTTACGTCTCTGTACTCACTGATGTAGTATACAACTTTAATATGGATCTGTACATGAAGGTGTAATCAAATAGTTGTAGGAAGGTTAATTTATCTTATAGGATGCGGTAAGTCTTACTTTAGCCCCCATTTCTGCAGCTCTGTGAATCAGATCATCGCAAGTCTTAAAGTTGGTTTCTTTGTCATCAGTTGAAGTCATCTGGCAAACGGCAACCAGGTTACTCTTCGGTAAGTTTGATGAAGTAGTCTGTGACATTATACTGCGTCTGAAAAAAACCTGATTTCACTCAACAGTAAGTCAAATGCTGGTAGTAGATCTACACAGAATGTGTAGGCAGGGGAGAACCAAATCTTTAAAATCCCTAAATTGTCCTATTTTTCAGGGCCTTGGCACCCTGGAACACTTTCAAGGGATTTTGAGCGACACCCAACCGCACCCACTTTTTTTCATCTGGGACCTTGGACCCCCCCATCGGGCAAATCCTGGCACCACCACTGTGTGTAGGCTAACATGGAAAAAAATATAATGTCTCTGTAATTCTAAGGAAACTTAGGTTTTTAATTGCAAGGAGAATACCTAAAAAATCCGCTCAAGTTTGCATGGAAAATCGCTAGGAAAATAGGTGCACGGAATTCTAATTGCTGCATAATTGCATTGGTTAAATATTAGGATTACATCAAAGCTTAATTTTTTGGCAACATATAGGAGGATATATTCTCCGTGCAGCCCTTACTA